TATAGGTCAGCCAGGGAATTTATATATATATATTTTTTTTTTAATTTTAAGCTAATCTTTTGATTTACACAATTTGAAAAATACATTAGTACAATTACGCTTACTTCTTTTAAATATTTTAATATATAAATAATACGGATTAAAAAATTAAACAAAGTTATTTTATGATACGTGATTACAATCATAATTACATAGACATACAAGATACAGGGATACCAAAAAGAAAAACTCGATTTATAAAACGGTTGATGTAAATAGCGCTGTTAAAAATTCCGATTTGGGTTAATTTTTAAAACGGCCCGATTAAGATTATAACCAAAATAATATTATGCAAAGCCGCGAGATTTGGGCAAATGGATGTCCAAATCTTCCTGCCATTTAAAATCTTCTAGTTTGTATAATATTATTTTGGGGCATTTTTAAAAATCCCGAATAAGGCTTTTTAACAACACTAGTTGTAGAAATAGGTGGCTACAGAGGAGAGATGTAAGAGGCCTTTGAAATTGACATTTATGAGAAGAATAAAAAAAAAATTAGATATAATAGATATTTTAAAAAAATGTGATTTGCGGGGAAATTCGAAAAAATTTAAACGTCCGTAGAGGGCTTTTCGGGTCGAGCGGGGAAATTTGATGCTGTTAACCCTAGGGACTTTTTCTAAATATATATAGATAATTGGATCTTTCTTAAAATACATCCTATTACTTTTATTATTATATAAGGTTGTTTTAATTTTAGTCCTAGTTGCCCCAACTAACTTTAATTCTACAGAAGCTCTCAGGGTCTTTCCTTCTTTTTTATTGACTTTAGAATTTTTCACCTAAAAATTAAATTCGATTTTATTAACTAATATAACTTAAAATAAATCAGGTTAGGGATAGGGTATCACTATGTAATACAAAAAAATGTATTTAAAAAAACACAATGCGATATATATAATAAACATGACGAGTTAAAAACTCCTTAAAAGATCATTTTTTTAAAAAAATACAAAAAAACAACCAATTAAAACAATGACAATTTATTAAAAACTTTGGAGAAAAAAAATAATAATCTTATTTTATATTATATAGCGTTTACGTGCCCTCAAATTCGTAATAAAATTTTTTTTAAAAATTTATTTAATTAACTTTGCCTTGAAAACCCGGAACATGCCTTCTTATCATTTCGGTAAATTTATGAAATCGATTTAATTATTAATAAAAATCGTTCATTTTATTGCCAATTTTGGAGTGATAAAAAAATTTTGAGAATCATTTTCATTTTATTTTTTTGGTGGTATTTTAAAAGAGAAAGATATAGATTTTATTATAAAATTTAGCAAGCCTACTGTTGTTAAACGGCCCGATCCAGAATAATATCGCGCAAGGCTGAAGATTTTTCTCGTAGTTGCCACAAAGGTTTGTTGGAACATCTATTAGCGAAATCTCGAGGCTTAGACAATACTTTTCCGGCTACAATACTGGAGTTCGCCATTTTTAAAACGGCTCAAATCGAGCCATTCAACACTAAGCAAGCCGTAAAAATGAATGGGCGCCAATTCATAGATTTGGGATTGTAGAATTTATGGGAATTCAGAAACTCTCCGCTTAACGGAAAATTGTTCGAAATTTTTAAGGCACGCGGCGTGTAGTTCACCACAATACCCCTAATTTTTTTTTAAAAAACCAAAATTAGATTTGTGAAATAATGTGGAATGGCACCTATCAAATGATGGAAGAAGAGGCTTAGCTATAACAAGATTAGTCAAATGAAGGGATAACTAATATTCAAAATCTTCGAGATAAACAGATGTCAGGAGACAAACTAAAATTTATATTTAAGGAATAAATATAATTAGTTGTTAACATATTAGGAGGAATGGGAGGATTCTATAAAAATTTAATCCATTCTATTGTAGTGTTGTTAAAAGGATCGTTTTAAGACGATTTTTAAAAACGGCTAACTCGAAATTTCACCCAGAATAATATTACGCAAGCCTGAAGATTTTGTCTGTAGAAGGAACAAAGGTTTGGATATCTATTAGCGAAATCTCGAGGCGTGGGCAATATTTTTCTGGCTAAAATATTGAGTTAACCGTTTTTAAAAATTGGCTCAAAATGAACCGTTTAACAATATTTATATGGAACTACAAATGTGGCATGCGGGGAGAATTATCTTACTTATAATTTTGGTTATACCTTATTAAATTCTAACTCTTAAACACGTAAAAAACGGGAAAAATCCTTTAAATAATAGTTTAAAATCAGTATACGATAAATTGTCGGGCTATTACAATTTAACTGCTGAATGCTGATGATGCAATAAATTACACCACAATATTAGATCCCAGGCTTAAAGTTAAATATTTTAAACCAATATCTGCTGATAATTCACCCGCCCATTCTATGTTTTAATTTTCTAACCCGCCATCCACACTTGCCCAAATGAACGGAAGGGCTGGAAACCAGCCCATTGAAAGCCCCTAACTAATACATTTGCAACCACGGTGAAAAAAAAACGCGTATTATATTATAATTCTTTATTGTAATACTTAAAAATAAAGCATTTTGAAGAGAAATTTTTTTTATAATAATCATTTTATTATAAAAAAAGTGTGGTATTTTGAAGAAAAAAAATAATACCCTAGCTTTCAAATTCAGTTTTCCCTTATGTTGTGAGCCGATTTTTAAAAATGGCTAACTCAAAATTTAAACCAGAAAAATATGCCCAAAGCCTCGAGATATCGATAATAGATGTCCAAACCTTTGTTCCTTCTACAAACAAAATCTTCAAGCTTGCGTAATGTTATTCTAGATGAAATATTGAGTTAGCCCGTTTTTAAAAATCGGCTCAAAACGAGCCGTTTAACAACACTAGTTTTTCCCTTTATCACGACCAAAAATCGGGATTTCTTATCTTCTTTAGGGATTATGTTTAAAAATCTTTTTTGGGGGGGTTTTTGATATTGGGAAATTTCGATTGATTTCTGTAACCTATCAATAAATATATCAATATCTTTAAAAAAAATAATAATTGATCGGAACATAACTCCCTAGAGAGGATAAATTCTCAAAAAGAATTGGGTGAGGGAGAGATGGGAAATCAATATCTCCTTAAAACTAAATCCAGAAATAAATTAGATTATAATTTATCAATGAATGGATATTATTTCCAAGCTTATTTTTTTGGATGAACATCATCGTCGTTTAAATATAAAATTCTTTGTATAGAGATGAGAGATTAATAAAAAAAATTTTAAATTAACAGAATATTATTTACAATTTTTTTAAATATTTATTTCAAGTCAGTTTTTAATTAATAAAATGTTTTTTTTTAAGGAAAGAAAAAAAAAATCAAAATGTGAAATTTAATATCTATAATTTTTTTTTAAAATACAAACTATATAATTTATTAGAATAATGACAATCTTCCTTAGAATAATGATAATCTTCCTAGAATAATGACAATGTTCCTTCCCGACGATTTTAAGGGAAGGAGTGAAATTCAAGACCGGATATCTAATTTCGTTCTTTAGGATATTTCTTAGTATAAGATCGAATTAAAACACTATAAAAATTTTTTAAAAAAAACTATACAATTAAAAATACAATTTTATGATCGAGTTCCCAAAAAGGAACCATAATATGCCTAAAAATTTCTATTTGAATTTATCGGCGCGTATATAAAAATTATCAGCCTCGTTTGTTAAAAATAGCCGGTTTTTATTGCCTAGATTTTAATTAAAAATTTATAAATTTATTGGCGAAAAATGGCCATTTGTCAGAAGTCACTATTGTATTGAATATGAAGTTGTCAAAATTTTTGTATTTGTCAACCTTTTTTAGTATCTGCCCCGTATTAGTGAATTGATATTTAAGTTTGAAGGGGAATGAAGGGACGCACTACTTTTGATAAATAATTTCTAAAAATTTAAAATAACTATAATAATATTTTATTTTAAGCGTTTTATTGAACGAACTATTATTATTTAACGCGTATTAAGTTATAATAACTTAGTTTTAAAAGTTCGGTAGTAAATTAGATTTTACTTTATTATACGAGTTTGCGTTTAACCCTAACCCTGCATTGATAGTATGAGCGTGACGGCCCCAAAAAAAATACGCCAGCCTCTAAATTTTCCTAAGAGATGTCTAATACCTCTCTGCCATCTATGAACAAAATCTCCAGGCTTGCGTTATATTTCTGGCTAAAATATCGGGGTGGGCCGTTTTTAAAAAATCGAGCCATTTAACAACACTATGCGTGAATTCGAAGGCGAAGTAAGCAAAATACGCTGTTCCTTTTGTATTTTTCGCCGCGAAATTTGTATTTTTCGCCACGAATTCCAGCCAAGAGTGTATCAGGGGATGCGCCACCGCTAACTGTGGATGAGGGGTTATGTGCCACATTAACAATTCCAACCTTTAAAATTGAATTGTTTTATGGATTATATTATATTTAACAAGTATTTTAATAGATTCGTAAATAATTATCCAAATAAATGTCAAATTCAAAAATACTAAATTAAATACCAAAATTGTTATTTAATTCATAACTTGCCTCACCCCCCCCCCCCTCATTCAGAAAAAAAAATAATTCTTATTTTAATTTTTATAATTCCCTTTCCGGTTGATAATATAAACAAAAAAACATTATGATACCGTTACGTTATATGTGGGAAAAATAGTAATACGCGCGACATAAATAATTTATAATTGGCGGCATTATCACTCAAATAATGATTTGACAAGTGGTTAAGCACCCAAATGTATCACATTCAACTAAGTATTTATTAAGAATTTAGAAAGAAAGTTAAACTTATTTTATCAATGTCTAAAGCAAAAATGACTGTTTTTCTTGATAGTAACGGCGTTACTTTAATTTAAAAAAAAATACCGAATAAGGCTAAAAGGAACATAAATGATAAAAGTGTTGAAAGCAGTATTTATATATAGCTGTTAATTTGGAATGTGGGATATAACACAAATAAGGATTTAAAGGAAAGATAAAATAAATACCTGTAAATGATGCATTAACAACATCAAGGGATTCCGAAGAAATGTCGATAGTTTTGGCGGCCCCGTTAAGTTTGGCGGCGTTATCATCGAGAGTCTTATGTCCGCGTTTATTTTTACCATTGCACTTTTTATGGGTTTTGTCTTTTTTATCATTTTTAGTTTTTTTGTCGTTGGTATGTTTGAAATCGTTATCATCCCTACTGCCATAATAATGATTTCGGCGACGGGCGTTTAGAAGCGCTATTTGACGCCGCCACTTCCATGGCTTAAGCCATGATCGGGAAAATAAGATGGAGGCCAATTTATTGGTGGACTGAAAGTGAGGGCTATCAGCACCAGTATCGGCGACGAAGGACCTGTTCAGCGGTTCTGAAATATCGCGAGTGTAAGAATCCGAGCCCAGGCTCGGGTCATCGCTGCGATGGTTTAACCCTAGGCGGATTTTGATACCCCTCATAAGAGCTTCTAGGCTATTGGCGTGGAAAGAGTTATTACTATGATTGGAATCGTTTATGTTATAATGGTGAGCTTTACCATATGGCAGGTCGGTAGCCGAGAGTTTACGACAAGGGATATCGGAGTTATTAGTTAAGGTGGTATCGGCTAAATCCATGAATACGCGAATATTTAAATATGGCGTTTGAGCCAAGCGAAAAAAATAATGGAGGAGTTTGTAAAGGATTTGTTTAACAAAATTGATTGAATTTATAATTAAGAATCAAAGGAAAGAATCCATTTTTTTTAAAGATCGGTACGTCTGTTTGTTTCGCGTCTATATAACGCGACGGATAGAAATGGCATCAAATACTCGAAATATTTTTACGCTTCGTCTTCTCTAAAATAATAAATTATAAAAAAAAAATTTTAAATAAAAGGTGAATTTAAAAACATTATTTTTTTATGTAACACATTATAAAAAAAACTAAAAAAAGAATAGCAAAATTTTGGAGCCATAAGTTCTAATAATATTTAAAACCAAGATCTAAACGTCGAAATAAACGGCGTGAAATGAATGAAAGAAAAAGGCTAACGCATTTTAACCTTACCTGACCAGTGGACAATATACCTAAAACGAATTATTCGCTATCCAATATTATTTGATTCGTATTCGAATATGAAGAGTAAAATTATTCGACCCGAAAATTTGAATCGAATAAGAATAAGGAAAATATATTATTCGAATTTTTATCCATTATTTCGGATAGTATAATTTGATTTTTTTTTCGTATTCAAAATTTATAGTATATATTACGTCGACAATATTCTTAAATATTAAAACTTATTCACAAATATTTAAAATTATTTGTAAGCATTTAACATGTTCCTTACAGAACATTTTATTTACTTTTTTTAATCTAATTTTCTCAGAATTTGGTAAAAAAAAAACTTTTGAGCAAAAATTTGAAGATTTTTTTTTAAAGAAGAAAGATTTTTGATCAAATTTTATCTAAATTTATAAATATGTTTTTAGTTATAAATTTTTTTTCGTAAATATATATCTATACAAAATATCATTTATTTTTCATTATTATATACGGGAGAAAAAGAAAAAAATGATGTTTTCGTATATCGTCTGTGGCCTAGTCAACTGTGATATAGATTAGCATAGATCTGGGTTTGAATCCAGCAGGGACTTCTGAGGCCAACTTAGGTAGTTCCGTTCTAGTGGGGATGATATAGTGATGTAGAGAATCGGAGGCGACAGCGTGATTCCGCCTTTTTAAACATTGGAATTTCAAATTTTTAATAAAGGTAGTTGTTTTAGCAAATGGTTTAACGAGTATTACACCACTAGTATGGTTAATATAGGTCCTACCCGGATATCGAACAAAATATAAAAAATATATATCAGAGTTATTAAAGTATCTAGATATAAAAATGAAGTAACTGCATTCTGGATATTATTTTTAAAGGTAGTATCTGTACATCTTAAAAATAATAATATCCATATTAAATTCATTTAATTATATGTCCGAGTTTATTTCATTACAAAAACAAATTCGACAACATAGTAAATATTATATTATAATTTATTTTATTTATGTCAAATTAAAAAAATATATATTATAATTTTTATATCAATTTAGACAATTTCTGAAAAGAAATCACATAATTTATTATTAAATTTTTTTTGGCACCCTTTAGCTAATATAAATAATATTGATATAAGTTTTGACACTCTTCAAATTTTAAATTATTTATTTATTTTTTTTAAATGAGTGTAGGAATTTTAATATATTTATGATTTTACCAATATAAAGTTGTTATTTAATATATATATATATATATAACTAGCCTGCCGTCAAGTGTCCAGGTAGAGAGAGTAATGTTGTTAAACGGCTCATTTTGAGCCGATTTTTAAAAACGGCAAACTCAATATTTTAGCCAGAAAAATATTGCCTAAGCCTCGAGATTTCGCTAATAGATGTCCAAACCTTTGTTCCTTCTACAATCAAAATCTTGAGGCCTGCGTAATATTATTCTAGATGAAATATTGAGTTAGCCGTTTTTAAAAATCGGCTCAAAACGAGCCGTTTAACAACACTAAGAAAGAGTTTAGTGTAGCTAAAAATGTCTTGATACGAAAACGGGTATGCCCTAATGATAAAAATTTTGAGAATATTTTATTATTAAAATCTAGCAATCATTTATATATAGACGAGGATTCTGTATCTAGCTCCATCCATTTGAATAGTATCTATCAACAACTCTGTAAAGTATGTCATCCACAAAAGATATTAAGATAGCTAATTTATTTGCATTTTTGAGAAATACTTTGGAATGTAACGATTTCGAATTACATTTTAAAAATATATTTAAATATTTAGATGAATCTCATTCACCATTATAAATCCCCCTCCCACCCCCCTTCCTCCCCCCAAAAAAATTTTTTGATCATTAAATTCAAGCGTACTGCCCAAGTCAACATAAAGCAATTTTCAAAATAATCTAATTTGCTAAGCATCGACAAAAATTTATTAAAATGTAACTTAGCTATTATTTAATATTCACGTGCAGGCTGGGGTTCGAACCCAGAACCATCGGATTGGTAAGCGACGCTCATATCGACTAGACCACAGACGCTATAACGATTTTTTCTTAAAATGTATATTATAAATAAATTTGGCAGTTCCCATCCAAATGGAATAATATACAAAATACCAACTTGATAGATACTTCCTTAGGGTACCTATCATAAAACTTGTAGTGTAGGGAAGTTTATTTTGGAAGACACCAATTTTAAAAAATATTTTATTGTCAATTATCAAATTTTCACGATAAACATAAATTTATACTTGTATTCATTATATATATTATTTCGATGCAATTCTTAATTTAAATTTTAGGCCATTTAAATTTTTTTTTTAAATGAACATGTTTAAAATCGAATTTTTTATTTTATAAAATAAAAAAAAGAGATCATATTTGTAAAAAAAATGTAACAAATCAATTTTGAAATGTAACTGTAAAAGGTTAAAAAGGTAACGTTTACCCTTTTTTAAGGAATGTAACTTGTAACTCGTTACTTTTAACAGATCATTTTCCCTAAAAATAAAAAACATTTTTATGATTTAAAATTCACTAAAAGATAGATACCTAAATGATTAATTTATACGCGAATTTTCAAATTAAAAAGATTTTTTTTTGTATTTTTGTAAGCTCGCTTTTCAATTAAGTCATCTTACATACACTAGAAGGAACATACTTTTCCAACCGTATTAATTTAATATAATAAAAAAATAAAATATTAAATAACACAAAGTAATCGGATAATAAATTTTAAAAAGTATATTATTTAATTAAAATTTAATTTATATAAAATAACGAGAAAGAATATTTTAAAAAAGGAAAATTTATATTTTTACCGAATAACGACTTCGTGGAATTCGCGGTATTTTCGTTGTTCTATTATTTGACTTATTAAATGACCGAAAGGAAAAAAAGTGATTTCCAAAACGAAAAGAATAATTTAAAAAATAAAAGTCATCTTCCTTTTTTTACATTTTTTTTGTTTGTTTCATTAACCTTCTTTACTCTTTTTTTTATATACTCATTTTCTTTCTTTCATTCATTCCTTCTTCCAATCTTCTATTTACTCATTTTTTTTAAACCTTTTTTTAGGGATGTACCGATATTTTTGAATCGGATCGGGCCGAGATTTCACCCATTTTAAAATATCGGTTATCGCCCAATATTATAAAATTTTCCGATCCGATCCGTTATAAAATGGCGTATTTAATAAAAAATAAAATGTTATAAAATTTTAAAAAATCATTTATTTTTATAAATAAAATCGAAATTCATTTTTATGTATATTTTTTTTTAATAATAATAATTAATTAATAAACATTCTGTCATATTGTTATTTTTTGCGCATTCTATTTATAAAAGTGTGCGATAATCTTTTCAGAATCTTGATCGGTAATCGGCCGATATCAATTTAATATCGGGAATATTGGATAGAATCGGCCTCCAAAAAGTTTTTCGGGACACCCCTACCTTCTTTATACGTTCCTTTCCCTCTTTCTTCCTAACCAAGTAATTTTGTTTTTTTTGTTCCCTCCCATTTTTGTAATAATTTTTCAAACATTGACAATTTTTTCATCACAAATTTATCAAAGGTCTAATTAAGTTGACATATATTCTCTTTTCATCCCAAATATATCTTTTTAGTTATTGTAGTAGACTTTTTTTTAAGTATTAATATTACACAACATTGCGAAAAAAAACTTTAAAAAAACAGTACATTGTTTTTTTTTTAAATTTAAAAATAATTTTATCTCTCTCCTCATCTAATGTTCCTTTTTTTTTATCGGATTTATTTTTCAAGTTATATTCCATTAGGAATGTTTAAAAAAACGGTTTTAAAAAAACAATTATGGACGTAATTTTCTTGTCCTTACTTCATTACACGTGATATTTTATTTTATTAAAATATATCATTTCTCATCTAATGTTCTTTTATAAAAATCATTCTTTAAATCTGGTTTTTTAAAAAAAATTATATTCTATTAAAAACGTTTAAAAAACATTTTAAATAAAACAATAAAAATCGTCTTCTTTAGTTTACAAACCGTGCAAATGAAAGAATTTAACGTAATTTTTTTCCCCGTAAGACTATGTCCATAATCCTTTTTAAAAAAATTTATAAAAATAAATGAGAAAATTATATTTTGGACACGCTTTTATTTTTATATTTAAAATAGCTTATTTATTTATTTTCATTAAAGTTTCAAACCTTTGTTTAATTTTGATACTTTGGGTTAGTATTGTTAAACGGCTCGTTTTGAGCCGGTTTTTTACGGCTAACTCAATATTTTAACCAGACAAATATTATGCAAGCCTTCAGATTTTGCTCGTAGATGGCACAAAAGTTTGAACCATCTATTAACGAAATCTCACATCACATTTTTCTAGCTAATATATTGAGTTAGCCATTTTTGAAAATGGGTTCAAATCGAGCAGTTTAACAACACTACTTTGGGCACAGCCTTAATAATGGAAATAAATAATATAAATTATCTTTAACTTGATAAGAAAACTTAGCATTTCCATATTTTAATTTTTCCTATTTCTTTTCTCACCATTCCCAAATGCCGATTCTAGAAATCCGTAAAAAGGCGGCTCGAAAAAAAGCTGCCAATTTTTTTTTAATTCCAGATTAAATAAGGCTCCAACGTGCCCCTACAATTTTAATCGAATCGGGCGTCAGAAAAAGTTTTCCGAGGTTACATATTAAGGGTACGCTTAATGGAAACTGAAAAATTGGTTAACAATAATTCATATTTTGGGGTATTATATTTTAATAATTTTTTTTAGAATAACCCTGATCAAATAGGGCTCCGACGTGCCCCAAACATTTTAATCGAATCGATATCAGAAAAAGTTGTCCGAGGTTACATATTAAGTGTAAGCTTAATAGAATTCGAAAATTGGTTAACTATAATTCATATTTTTTGGATATTATATTTTAATAATTTTTCTTTAATAACCTAGATCAAATAGGGCTCCGACGTGCCCCAAAAATTTTAATCAAATCGGGTGTCAGAAAAGGTGGTCCGAGGTTACATATTAAGCGTAAGCTTAATGGAAACTGAAAATTGGTTAACAATATTTCCTAAGCAGATATTATATTTTAAGTATAATCTATCGGGTTTTTTATTAACGATAATTTTTTTTCGATCCCCCCTTCCTCTAAAAATAGGGCTAAAGATGCTTACTACCTTAAGGTATTACCTATCAAATTTGTATTTTGTTTATTTTTCATTTGGATAGGCACTACCAAATATATTTAGAATATATATTTGAAAAATTGTGATTTTTGGAAAGCGGATAAGGCCTAGTCGGCAAGAGCATTGCTTATCAATCTGATGGTTATAAGTTCGAATCCCAGCAATGATCATATTTTTTTTCTTAATCTAGCTTGGTAGTTCCGTCTGGAGGATGATATATAGGAGGCCGGACTAGACCACGTGATTCCATTATAATATATGTTAAATAATAAGGGGTCTTATTACATTTTAATAAATTTTGGTATTTGGCAGTATGTATCAAATAAAAATTGGATTCGCTCGGTATTGTATTTGGTAGTAAGCATCGTTAACCAAAAAATAAAGGGGTGAGTGATTGGTAGAAAAAACCCCCAAATATTTAAAATTAAATAAATTACCTTCGAAAAAATAAATAAAGGTTTTCTTTTTTTATTAGGAAAAAAAATATTTTTATTTGTTTTTTTATTTGTATTAAAAAGAATTTTTATCTTTTTTAAAAAAAAATAAAGGCGTATAAAAAGGGTATAAAAAAATATACATCTTCCTTTTTTTACTCCTTATCTATCTATATAGGGCGTACCAAAAAAAATGGATAAGATATGCATATAGCCGATACATTTTGTGCATATAGCCGATACATTTTGAAGTATCTATTAGTGACCTGCATCGGCCCTAATTTTTTAAGCTCGGTCCAAACCCGAAATTTTTTTAAAAAAGGTTTTGCCGCCTCGGTCTGAACTCGAAATTTTTTTTTAAAAAAAAAATATTACTGGCCCAGCCCGAATTTATTTAAATGTATAAAATTTTTTTAAAAAAAATATAATTATAATTACTAAAAAAATAAAAAATAAAAGATATATGTCATATGTCGTCAAGTGTCTATAAATAAAATCAAATATTTTTATTTTAATAAAAAAAATTCAAAATAAAATTGATAAATTTATAATATATTAAAAAAATTTCCAGCCCTAATTTTTTGCCCATACTCGATTTTTTTTTAGACGGACCGGGTACAGGCCGGTCCTACTTTTGCAGATCTCTAGTATCTATATCGTAATTTTGATGCATTTTTTATGTATTTTTGTAAATTTGATTCTTAATAAAAATTATTACTTTTTTCCTCATTAAAATAAATTTTATAAATTAAAAAATAATTGTTTCATTTTATTAAATTCATTAATAGTAATTATTTTACAAATTCTTATTTTCAATAAATTCTTCCATAAACTAAATATAATTCAATTTTTTTTTAAAATAGAATTTTCCAATTTCAATAATTTTTTCATTATATAAAATTTAGTACAATATAAAATGAATAATAAATCCATAATACCTGCACTTCTATGCCCATATTTTGATCTTGAATTTAGGTAATTCAAAAAAAAAGTTTTTTCTGAAAAAAGATAAAAACCTTTAATGTTATTGTATCAAATAATATTAAGTATAATATATATTCCAAAAAAAATTAATACAATATTTAAATTAGTTAACATAATTTGTCCTATGAGTTTTTATTAGAAGTAATTTTTGCCTACCCCCCCCCCCCCAATAAAAAAAAATTCCTGGCTACTGTCTGAAATAAACATTGAAATCAAAAATATTATTAGTTAACATGAAAAATTTGTGCAAGCATTTGATTTATGCCAATTTATAAAATATTAAACTTCTTTACATTTTGTGCATATATATTATATTCCTATCAATAATGGTAAAAAAATTTATTAAGAAAAATATTTTCGATATTTATTTGTGATTTTATATAATTTTTATCTTTTAACAATTTTTTTTATATCTGATTTACTTGTAATGATTATGTTATTTTGCTGCAAAACCATTTAAATTGGCAATTTAATATTCTTATAATTTTTTAATATTAGTAGAAACAATATTATTTGAAATGAAAATAAAAGCATGATAATTAAATTCATTGTAAATTCTTGCCTATAACGTACTAATATTATATATCTGACTAATGACTATATATATTGAAAATCATTACACATACAATGTTTATGACATTTACATAGAAAAGGTAAGTAAAATATACTTCAATTAATTAATATATATATATCATATTTTAAATTAAATTTGGTTTAATTAAAATGTTTAGATAATCATATTTAAGGGTAATCAAAAATATGGTGATTTGATTATAAAATAAATTATAAATAACAAGATTAGCAATATCATATGAATAAATCTAAACATTTATAAATTCGTAATATCAAATTTTCAAATAAATTGATGTCATACTTACTTTATAGATATCAGTATATCTTCATGTTCGAATATTAGGTCATGCGCGTATTTTTCAAAAAATTTAAGGGGGTTAAACGATATTATTAAAGAAACATAATCTGACCTAAAATGGCTTATATTATCACATGAGATAATCATATGTTAATAGATTTTAAAATTATTGATTTCACTAAAAATATAATAACAATAAAAGAGAGAATAAATATTAATAACTATTTTTATACATAATTTAAACAGAGTAAGCAATTATTAGCTGTTGGCACTTCTATACCTCTTTAAGCCAATGACAATATAATATTTTAAATTTATATGGAAAAAAGGATTAACAATGCATTGTTTAGAAAATTTTCTCTAGTAAAAGGAAAGTAACATATTTATTTGTAATAATATACGTTGAAAATAAAAAAATTAAAAGTTGAAATGACATAATATTATTAAGATGTCACAAATAATTCTGTGTAAAAGGTAATTATATTCAATTATTTTTTCATAATTTTTAATGTATTCATGCCATAGTGACCTATATCAATAATTAGCAAAATATTACTCTTAAGTAATTTTAATACATATTTAAAATATTATATTTAAGATACTACCAATATAATTAAAATTATTGCTAGTAAGAAAGTGATATACTTATTGTAATAAAAGGGTGAGGAACTCTTCACACGTTTGTGAGCAAGCTGCACATAACTGTATGGTAATAGTCCTAAAATTATTGTCAGTCTTTAAGCTAAAATAAAATGAATTGGGCGAAGCAAAAGCTTATATTCAATAATTGGGCATGTTCTTTTTTAATACTTTATTTTATTTTTATATAGTTTATATCTTTATTAAAAATTGTAATCGCTTTATATCTAAATTAAAATAGCAATGAAAAAAAATATATTAAAGTAACTTATTGAATTGTATATAGCTAAAGATATTGCAACACCGAAGAAAATATCAACAAGGGAATTATAACCAAATAATATATTACCATACCGACTTTTAAATCAATTAATTCTAACTTAAATTTATTATATAAATATTTATTAACCCTTCCTACTACTTCCTGTTCAGCTGGAAGATGTGTAAAGTTAAAATAAACAAAACTCGAATGCGAAATTAAATTTCTGATCCTTTTTTAGAAAATTTTCTGTTAATATCTAATGAAATTTTAAGATTTTGAAAAATTTACAATTGATGATATTATAACACAATTTGCCTTGACATCTATAAGGTTATCCAAATTATTAATAAAATAGGTAGTGTATCTTTTTCACAGTTCATATATAGCTTTTTTAAAAATGTGAATTTAATTTAACATTATTTTTATTTTAATTCCAGTGCAAAATATACTTTATTCATTTTATTCTAATATTTTATATAATAGTTCTACAATAAATTTAATAATTAAAAAGTAATATAGGTATTTAGTATCAAGCCAAGTATACCTCATTAAAATTACTCGTTTTATATTATGTTTTAGATCGTTTTTTATATAAATATAAACATGTTATCTCATTTAATACAATTATATTTATTCTTATGAAAATACAGTGATTATGTATCAACCAAATTATGAAAAGATTGCAATACTTAAATATAGATTAATTTATACACACTCGTGGCTTATTTTTAGAAAACGGATAGTGTCAAATTAATTATCATATCAACAACAATTTTTTAAAATTTTTTCTCCTAAATAGGCTTGAAAGATTTTAAATAGAGTTATGTTGTAAGATTATAAATAATTGTTTATTGTAAGATATATTACGTTGTGCCGTATCAAGTCCGGGCAGAATAGAAAGCAAAACTCCGAGTATAATAATTTTATTGAATTTCCCACAAAAAAAAATAATTCCTTTAATTTGCCACAAACGGCTATTTTATAGATGAAAATAAATAAAAGAATAATTTCTTACAAATCCGAATAACATGACTCATTGTGAGTCTTACAATCCCAAAACACCAATGCGCTAAGGTTAGCAAACCCGATTATTGCGCGTAATAAAAATACATATAATGAATTTACAAAAAAACACAATATATCCCAATACAATAATAAAATAATGCCAATTAGTACAAGATTATTTTTATTAATATCACTATAGCATCGTGGATTGGGAAGTCTCACGGCTGCAGGCCGTTAGGGGTAGATTTTTGGGGTTTGCTGTCAAATTTTCTGCAATGTAGATGCTGCTAACCACTAACGCAGTTTGGTATTATAACTTAACCTGCACTAAGCAGTCAATAAGTATCTTTTAGTTTTCCTCCAATGTAGTAGGTTTGGTGGCTAATAAAATATAGTATTTATTATAATCAATAGATACCCTAACCATTATCTTTGTAGCATAACTACATGTTAACCACTAATGCAGTTCACAAGCTTGGTATTAAGTTGAACAACTTAAACCGCGTAGATCCGTGAAAACTAAAAAATCTTATTGACTACTTGGCTGCTCAGTAGCCCTGTCTGAGCCACTGTGCGCTACCTGTCTAGTGACATTACTGATTGATCATAATCTAACATAGCCCCTAAGCCTTATCTTTGTGTCAGCATATAGTTTTTTGGGAGTCTCACAATATTTTTATTGATATAAACCATTTAAAACTATAATTTTAATATGTAAAATGTTATTTTATTGCATTATATACATTTATGTTAATAATTTTGCCCAAAAAACCTTTTGAAAATGAAGAATAGAATCATATAAAATATATTTTATTAGTGTTTCATCTAGTGTTGTTAAATGGCTCGTTTTGAGCCGATTTTTAATAACGGTTAACTAAATACTTATCCAGTAAAATATTACGCAAATTTGAAGATTTTTCTCATAGAAGGAACAGAGGTCTATACATATATCATTGAAAATCTCAAGGCTTATGCAATATTTTCTGGCTAAAATATTGAGTTAGTCGTTTTTAAAAATCGGATCAAAACGAGCCGTTTAACAACACTAGATCAATCATGGAATAATTTAACTGCTGAAAAAATTAGAAATTTTGGAAAATATATAACTGGATATAACTTTCAATTTATTAAGGACACTACGACAAAAAAACTAAGGTTTTAATATAGTTGGTTATCAAAGTAGCCGTTAATAACATTTTCTGTTACCAGATGCATTCTGCAAGAAATGCCTTTAATTTGGACCAAAGTTCGCTGGAAAAGGTCCACAAAAATTACAAATCCTAGTTTTAACACCGTTTACTAAATAGAAAGACCCTACCGAAAGATTTATAAAAAATAGAGAATCTGGATATTATTTGGATAATTTATACTGGAAAACAAATACTTGCTAAAATTTAGATCCAGGCTCACTCCAATAATTGACGCTTAATATGTGATATCCAAGGTATAATCGTTAGAATATATGATCATGATAATAACAATAAGGATGAAAACCTTAGGGTTATTCTTTCAAATAAATCTCTTGGAGATCCTATACTTAAAGATAATTTATTAAATGCTCCTAAAAATGCGATATATTTTAGCCCAATAATTCAGAATGAGATTATGAATGCCTGCGAATTAATATTGAAATTATTTCAGATTAGAGATCAGGAAATCACTACTCGGCCCGTACCCAGCCCGAATGAGCATTGGATCGGGGTCTCATTTTAAAAAATAATAATTTTAGGATCGGGTTAGGTCGGGCCAATTTTTTCTTTAAATTTCAACCCGGACTTGGGCTTATTAAATAAGATATCATTATATTTGGTCAAATAAATTGATATAATTTAAAATTCTTGCAATAAACAAGGGGCTAATATTTTTTTATTTGTAAAAATTTTTTTTTTAAATAAAAAAAAATTAAAATTTTATATATTTAAATAAATTCGGACCTGGCGGACAAATAATTTATTTCGAGTCGGGCTTTTCGGACAAACAAACATGAAAATTTTATTCGGGATCGGATTGGATTAGAGATATTATAAGCCTAGAATTTTATTAATAATAAAAAAAATTATGGATCATAGGTGGTATACCAATATTAAAAGTACTTTTACAGTTTGTCACTTATGAATATGAAAGGGAGGCCCTCACCAAAACTAGATGTCATAATACTTTAAAAAAATACCCATCAGCTATAAATGTTCCCTGAGCATCTCATTCGTTGGATTTAGCAATAAACTATGCTCTACCTTCTATACGCAATGCCATGAATATTTTAACTTGTAATAAATATTTTTTTTTAAACATCATATAAATTTATGATTTTTTTAAATATCCAAAGCGGCCTAATGTTTTGAATGAAAATATATCAATGGACCAGACACCCATCATTAAAAATTAAAAAAATACGATGGGTTTTATGTCATGATTCTGTTTCGGCATATATAGTTAAAATTGTTAAATAGCAAGGTAGCAATGTGCTTTCAGATCTCATATCATTATTAAATTCTATATATCAGTCAGAGTTCATCCTTGCTAATTGTAATCAATAAATTATTTTCTCATACTTCAATAAAAGGTAGAAATATAGAAAAACCAAATTTAACTTTGTTCAGGTGATTGATTTAGCGAAAAATATATGCGGATAAATATATACAATAAAGATGAATGTAGATAAATGTTTTCATCATATTTATCTAGATGTTTAATCTAGTGCCAAATATTATACCTTAAAATAAACCTCGACTCGCTAAGCAATTATTAAGATACCATATAAACGCTGATTCCATGGAAGAGTATTATAAAATATCAATTTTAACTAATTTTTGGACCCACATTTATTGTAAATAAAAGTACGTCTTTTTATTTAAAAAAAAACAAGTTTTTAACAATCTTCAAATTTTATTACCTAAAAACCATTCCACGAATTCCAAAATATTTCGCTAGTTTATGATATTGATACGGAAATCAATTTAAACAGTGAATTTGATTTGTGGGATAAACATTAACTATGTTTGGTTATTCTGAGCATGTGACGACTCAATCGGTGTAAAGAAAATTTTCAATTTCCAAATATTAACGATGTGCCATTTGTTAAAAAAAATACATTGAAGGTCCGCAAAAGTGTGCCCGAGGCTTAGACCAAGGTCCGGACCTAAAAATTTACTCAAGAGGGAAAAAATTATTTTACAGTTCTGATCGAAAAACCTTGCTGGGAAATTTTAATGGGCTAGTTCAGGCAACCTCCTGTAAATCTCCATAAAACTTGTTTTAAGATATATTTATTTGAATTGAAATATTTTTTTTACCCTTGGTGATAAATTTAGGTTCAAGGGTTCCAATAACGGAACAACAATTTTGTAAAGAACTAAGAGATTTTTAAATATGTGAGATTCACTTTTCTTATTTATACAATAATTAAAAAAAAATTAGAGATTTACTATTTTTTATCTGACCAAGCCGATTTGTTGTTTTTAAATATCGGTCATCGGCCAATATAATTAAATTTTTCGAACCGATAAAATAGCATCTTGATTTAAAAATTTCACAGGAGGATTGATATTAAATTTTTCAATATATAAGAAAATAAATTTATTAGTTAAGATTATGAATATTCTTAGATAATTTAAGTGATAGATAATTTTTTTTAAAAAACGAACTAAATAATTAAAAGCTAGAATAAACAGACAATTTACATTGATCACGAATAGACTAGCTAAAGAGGCTTTGGGGGGAAAAAATGATTGCACCGTTTTTAATATAAAATTCAGAGACCTGCAGGCCATTTATATATAACAGGGTCAGGCCTATAATTTTTTTTTAAAAAAATACTCTGGCCCTATATTTTAAAACTGAATATTTTAAATCACCGTTATTAGCTATAAAATTTTTAAAAAAATTTAATATAATTTTAAATAATAATCCGGACCAGGAAAATGGTGTCTTTTAAAAATCTCTGATAGAAATAAAGAAAGATTACAATATTTTAAAGATAAAATAAATGATTCTGTATATATTTTTAGATTGATGAATATAATTGAATAAATAAGTCTAAATTAAAATTTGATAGCAAAACATTCTAAATGATTTATGTTAAAGTCATAGATAGTTGCATACCATTTTTTTTAAAAAAAATGTAGAATATCTATAAAACAAAATCAGATTAGTGATATATCAGATTTGTCAGTATATTATCAAATTAAATGGACCTGTAAACAGGATTTATATTTTAAAAAAAATTTGACAACCTTGTGCATATTTTACTAATTGCTTGATATACATATTTAATTTATTTGCTTTCCATTTAAATTTCAATATTAACCCTTTTCCCCAGTTAATTTCTTAAAGAGATGTATTAATACCACTTCTAGGGGTAATGCAATCCATTTTGAAAGCAAGTTCAAAAATAAAATTAAATTTTGATTTGATTTTTTTTAAAAAAAAACCAATGAAATACTTTTGGGACAGATTCCATTCACAACTTTGTTTTTAAATTTGTTAATGGTTCATCTTTGAATTTGGTTTAAGCTATAAAATATTTACTAATTACCTTGAACATTTTATCATCATTGAAACTCTACTTAAATTTAGTAATCAAATATTTAATTTAAAACACAATAAATATTATACATTTATTCAAATGTACTAAATATATTACACAATATTATGTGGAAGGAATTGAGATATAAAAAAAATTGATTGATATATATATACAGCATTCAGAAAAAAGAAATAATCCAATGACTCAAATGTAGGCTATTGAAGCTGCCCAGCTTTCAAAAATTATTGATTTAAAATAATTAATTTTGCTATTAAAATGTTTGTACAAATATTTGATAAAAAAAATAATTTAATATGGCTGTAAATATGTTATTTTTTTTAAATGAAAAAATATCATTAAAAATATTTTTAAATTAAACTTTTTTAAAAAAAGAATATAAATTTAATTCAAGATAATTATGACAATCAGTCATTATGATCTATAAATATTGGAAATAAATAAGAATTTAAATCTATCTCTTTAAATGTATATCCAAATATAAATTTTTATTATAGACTTTTATATTTCACATCTTATAAATATTAAGCAGGTAAATAGTATGAGCATGGCTCTTATTAGAACATATATTTGTTTTATCTTTTAGACAATTCATTTGATAACCAATCTAAACCTTCATATAAACCAGTTCCTTGGGTGGCACAAGTTGCTTGGATATACCACTGTTATATTTAAATAAATTTACAAAAATGATTTTTTTTATAAAAAAAAATAATAATAAATGTCCATAGTTAACTTAAAAGATAAAAATATTTACACCTAATAATAATAAAAATATGAAAGAAAAAGATTTTACTGTTCTCATTTTCAATTCATTTAGCCCTAGCTTATTTGTCAATTCAGCACAGGTCAAGGCATTAGGAAGATCTTGTTTGTTGGCAAATATTAATATAACTGCTTCTTTTAATTCATCCTCTTGAGACTAAATAAATAAATATGTTATATAATCTACGATATTTATTCTAATTATGTAAATTTAAAATAAATAAGAATTACCATTTTATGAAGTTCATCACGAGCTTCTTCTATTCTTTCTCTATCATTACTATCAATAACAAATATTAGGCCCTTATGACAATAAAAATATTATTTATATGTATTAATTAATACTTGAGTATTTTGAAAATAATGCCTCCATAATGGTCTAATTTTATCTTGGCCTCCTACATCCCACACAGTAAAACAAATGTTTTTATACTCAACAGATTCCACATTAAAACCTATCAATCTTTTAAAAATAATAGTACGTAATCATTATACCAATTGTAGGTATTGTGGTAACAACTTCACCCAATTTTAGCTTATATAGAATTGTAGTCTTTCCTGCGGCATCAAGTCCAACTTTATGATTTGCATAAATATTAACTTCTTAAATACTATAATTTTACCCATCAATATTCTCATTTGCTTTTTTCCAAATATGCGATTAAAAACAGACGATAAGGTTAAACCCATGGTTCAATTGATATATAAATCTTTTAGCAAGCGTATGATGGGCCTAAATAACGTGGCTAAGCTATTATATCACAAGGAATGTTATGCCGTTAGAATTATATTTCGCATAAGTGATAAATATAAATATCAGAACCAGACTAACTATATATTGAATGACCGTTTTTTAAAATATATTTTATATGCCTGAGAAAGTTTAAAAATATTTGTGATACAGGTAGTTATGTAAAGTAACGTCGATTAAGTAACGGCGTTACTTTGTTTAGGAAAAGGAAAGTCCGTTACTTGTTTCAAAGGATAACGAGTAATGCATTTTTTTTTGAGCTTTAAATTTTTTAATGAGATAATTTTATAAATAAATTTAAGTCCATTATGCACATCAACCTACAAAGATCTCCAATTATTTTTTAGTTATTATATTTTTGTTGTTGAATTTTCTCTTGTTGATCAAATGAATCTATCAAAGTAGCGTTTGTCTAGAATAAAAACGCCCCACTTGATATTTCTAACAAAAAATCAAACATTATTTTATAACTAGTTGATAACCCGTCAAAAATGACGGGGATGAGAATTTTATTCGTTCTTTTACGATAATTCTTTTTACCCCTCCCCCTCCTCCTTCAGGCCAATTCCATTAAGACTAAGAGAGAGGAATTGTCTTTTTTATTCAATGATTGATGAATAATATATTTTACCTTTATTTGATGATGGATGAATCAGACATTTTCCTTTTTATGAGATGTGATTTCGAAATTTATATTTTAAATTACAAAAATGAAACAATATCTCTTATTAGCACCCTAAATACTAACATTATTTACCAGAGCTCCTGTTAGTCAGAATTACTGTTCACTCCCCACCGTGTGAAGGTAGGAGATGGATTTTAGGGGAGCAAAGAAATGAAAAAAAGAATGAAAATAAGAAGGAAGAAATAGAAAAATAGAGACAAAGATATGAATTATAAGAAAATATAATAAATATTTATACTTCAAGAGTTGATGATTATCGGGTTACAACACATATGCATTTGTAGCCATATAAAAAATATAATATAATAAATTTTATAATATAGAAAATTTTACCTAAAAAGGAGATTTCAATCTCTTTTCTTTGCTCAAGGTGGTTTCGTTTTTGAAGATGATGTTGTGATTTCCTTGTTCGTAGTTTGCCGTAAATAACCTGAAATAAAACGTGTAAATTGAAATTAAATAGAATATACTGTTGTTGGTGAGGAAGATGGTTTAGCGATGGTGAAGAAGTTATCTTTTCTTTGCTCAAGTTGGTTTCGTTTTTGAAGATGATGTTGTAATTTCATTGCTCGTAGTTTGCCGTAAATAACCTGAAAAAAACGTGTAAATTGAAATTATAAAATAGAATTTACTGTTGTTGGTAGCGATGGTGAAGAAGTTCTCTTTTCTTTGCTCAAGGTGGTTTCGTTTTTGAAGATGATGTTGTGATTTCCTTGTTCGTAGTTTGCCGTAAATAACCTGAAATAAAACGTGTAAATTGAAATTATAAAATAGTATATACTGTTGTTGGTGAGGAAGATGGTTTAGCGATGGTGAAGAAGTTCTCTTTTCTTTGCTCAAGGTGGTTTCGTTTTTGAAGATGATGTTGTGATTTCCTTGCTCGTAGTTTGGCGTAAATAACCTGAAATAAAACGTGTAAATTGAAATTAAATTATACTGTTGTTGGTGAGGAAGATGGTTTAACGATGGTGAAGAAGTTCTTTTTTCTTTGCTCAAGGTGGTTTCGTTTTTGAAGATGATGTTGTGATTTCCTTGCTCGTAGTTTGCCGTAAATAACCTGAAATAAAACGTGTAAATTGAAATTAAATAGAATATACTGTTGTTGGTGAGGAAGATGGTTTAGCGATGGTGAAGAAGTTCTCTTTTCTTTGCTCAAGGTGGTTTAGTTTTTGAAGATGATGTAAAGTTGGTGATTTGATGGTGAATAACAAAGTTGGTGACTTTTTTAAATTTCTTACAAATTATGAATTTAAGATTTCATTATATACGATATTTTGTGTGAATGTTTTATCATTTTTTAAAATTTTTCCTTATAATTCTGATGGCAAAATCATAATTTTCATATTATTTTGAGATTTACATCTAGTAAGAGCCACATATAGTTGTCCATGGGCAAAGACGGGCTCAGGGAGGAATAAGCCTACATGATCAAAAGTTTGTCCTTGACTTTTATTTATTGTAATCACAAAAGCGGGAATTATAGGAAACTGTCGTCTTTTTAAAGTAAATGGTAACTGAGAGTCACTTGGAGCTAGATCTATTCGTGGGAGAAAAACTCGATAACCCTTATTAGTGCCTGTCAATACCTCAGCGTCGATAAAATTAATATGTAAATGTCGTATGATTAAACGGGTACCATTACAAAGTCCTTTCTTTGGGCTCAAGTTGCGTAATAGCTTAACAATTGTACCAACCTTAAGTGTTAGCTTGTGAGGTGGCATACCGGATGGAGTTTGTGAATGCAAAAATTCTAGTGGAAAATTCATTATATCATCCTTATTATCGCTTTCAATGGAATCTGCACTATAATAATGTTTGTTAGGGCCTGAAATTATATTAATGATATCGTTGTTGAGGGTAAGTGCAATTTTATTTTTGGTGGTTAATATTATTTTAGTAGAAAGACTATCTATATCAGCAATTTCTATAGAATTACCATACACACATTTTATTAATGAATCATTTTCAAGCAAATAAGGTGGGATTTCAACACTATTTGTAGGAAGATCAGAATTGCTGCGTGATAGCCCATCTCCAATTTTAAGTAACCAAGCATTGTAATCAACTTGATCTGATGAAATACGCATATTATCAATCAAATGTATTATTTTAAAATGACTCCATAAATATGAACTTTTTATACAGGACTCTATAATATCGACTTTGGAGCCTTTAGGCACTACTGGTAAAGTCTGTCTAAAATCACCACCTAATAAAATTACTTTTCCGCCAAATGGGTGGGAATTTTTCATAATGTCTTTAAGTAATCGGTCAATGCATCGCAAAGCGTGTTTAGTCATCATTGTGGCCTCATCAATAATAATCAATTTGCTATTTTTAATATCTAGAGCTAGCGAACTATGTAAATTCATATGGGATGTAGAAGTTTCAAAGATAGGCACAGGTAATTTAAATCCGCTATGGATGGTTCTTCCCTTCTTTAAAAGAATAGAGGATATGCCGGTGGTTGCAAAAGGCAATACAATTTGATTTTTTGCTCTTATATAACACATTAAGGTATTGTAAAGATACGTTTTACCTGAACCTCCAGGGCCATCCACGAAGAAATATCTTTCTGGAATATTTTCTAATTCAATCGCTTGTATAATTAAATCAAAAGCATATTTTTGTAATCGGTTTAATTTAGATATACGCTCGATTGAATCGGCAGCTTCAACATGGGCATCATAATGTTGTTTTGGGGGGATTTTTGTAGGTGAAGGAAGATCAAAACTTTGACAGCATAAACCATGATCAAGAAAAACGTTTTCAATGTCCATTAAAGTCATGTTTATTGCAATTACTTCTGAATATTGACGCAAATAATCTAAATCATCATAAATCTGAACCTATTCCATAGATATGCAGGATTTTCAGGCTGACAAAAAATGCAGATAAAGGCAAAAGTACTCCGAAGTTGTGACGGCATTTGATATATTGATCCCTCTTCTAAGCATGATTCCCACTCTTCATCTGATAACAAATTTCTTTTAATAGCTGCCTCTTTAAAAGTACTCATTAAAATTCCATTAATAGTTTTTAAATAATCAAAACTTGTAGCCCCGCAAACATGAAGTAATAATAATCGAAGGAAGAATCGTTCACCAGAATTAGGATGAGCGGAATACATTCTCGAAATTACATTTAATCGTTTTTTTCTTAGTTTCCAATGGTAATTTGTAAACACATAATGATAAGGTATTTCCCCATAAAGATATTGTCTAGCATTTAGATCTGTCTTATTTAACTCAAACCATGCCGTTAAAGTAGTATGTTTATTTTCTGATCTCAATAAAGCATCTCTTTCATGTCCAGCAGTGAAATAATACTGGCTGTTGTAAAGGTAAATGAATTCCTAAGCGAATAACAGCGTGCGAGCGGTCATGCATATTATTTTCTAATAATCTTCACATTGATTCACATGCACTCACATATCGCGCATTTAAATGATTTAATTTCGTATATTTGAAGCAACATTAATGTCAACATTAGTACAGTCTTAGCCCTTATAAATATACTTAAAGATATATTTTACCGATTTAATAGATGTACAAATTTCCACGTTAATATGAGCATTGAATTTTAACATTAGATATCGATTATATGGAATAACATAACGATTATCCGTAGGTTTACCGGAAAGAATTGTAATACCATTATCTCGCCTTTTATAATATGGATACCCATCAATATTTGGTCTTGTTTCTATTTGAAAATCCTTCGGAAATTTTTTGGTACATATGCCATTTTCCATGCAAGGCGATTTGGGGTTAAATATCCCGCAAGGACCATGTATCATAAAATGGGTAACAATTTGAAAAAGTTTAGGATCGAGAATTTTATCTGGCATTTCGGCACAAACAAATTTATCTATAGCTTGAGATGTTTCAATTTTGCTATCATCGTTTAAAATAATAAGTATATGGGCATGAGGCAAACCTCTTTTTTGGAACTCGATTGTATATATAAAAGCCATAGATTTACCAAATAAATTTTTTTTATTTATATCGAACAATAATTCATTTAATTTCAATTTAAAAACACGGGCTATTAAATCTGGTCTATCTGTAGGACTTTGCCCGGGAAATAGATTTTCCTTAATTTCACGCCAATTAGGATTGCATGTAAAAGTAATAAAAAAATCAGGTTTGCCAAATTTGAGCACAATGGCCAATGCATCTTGATAGCGTTCTCGCATATTTCTTTGAGAACCTTGAAAAGATGATGGTAATATTACTGCTTTGCCGGGAATTATATTGTTTGACTTTGTTTCCAAGTAGTCCATTAATCCAGAATATTCATCTACTCGTAATTTTGGCTG